AAGAAAGAAAGAAAGAAAGAAAGAAAGAAAGAAAGAAAGAAAGAAGGAAAGAAAGAAAGAAAGGGCTGTAGCAAACTCCAAGGGTTGGTGCAGAACAACCTCCTAACCACTCCCAGGAACCAACTACAATGGCAGGAATGATGGGGTCTGTTGTTATGTTTCCAAGAACAATGTGTGCTTGCTGCTAAGAAATAACTATATGCAACTATGTAAATTTACAATTAAATTATATTTTAAAACAAGCATAAGCGAGACATTACTTCCTACCATTGTGTTTTATTGTCACCTAGACTCACAAGCTTGTCTGTCATTTCTATGTCTGTCTATGTTATCTGGTTAGTCTCCACACTACACACTGGCTTCTTGACGGTTGCCAATGTGTCACCTCCCAGAAGGTCATTATTTAAGATACAGAAACTAGAGAGCCATACTGCTCTGGGGAACCCTTGAGAAGTTGGCTGAGCGGTCTGTTAACTGCTATTAGACTCTACAGCCACAAGGTGCCGCTAGGAACAAAGAAAGCAAAACAACAAGATGGCCCATGAAAAGTTAACCAAGTTCTGAGAAACAAAAGTTAAGGGCTTAAAAAAAATAAAATCATGAAGTGGTTTCCTCATTTTTTTGGCTGTGTCCTAGAATGTTAGACTATAGACAGCATGACACTTGGAGATGTGTAGCATTCTGTAATAAATAACGCAACCCGAAACCCACAACTGTCAACAAACCCACAACTGTCAACACTGCAGACAAGCCCCACCCCCACCCCACACCAGCTCACCTCTCCAAGACCCTAGAGGCTGTCTTGATACTTTGCAGTTCCTGGATGTCAGAATAGCATCTTGGAACAAACACCAGATGATTAAACATGAAAAACCACAGCAGAGCACTCATGTGCACAGCTTTGAAGGCAGACAGAAGGTTTCTGTCTAACCACAAAATGCAGGCCTTGATCATCATCATTACTGGCCTCCTCAGGATGGTGAGGGCTAGATAACACACCACATTAAAGATGCCTGGAACCGCGTCTAGCACAGAGTGCATCTTCAAAGAGCACTGCCTATGATTATCATCTGCTCATGCATTCTCCAATCTGTAGATCCTGGGTCAGGATTTTCTCCACTTCTTCTTCTTCTCTGGCATTATTTTTTCCCCATCCTTATCTTAGCTGACTCAACTTTCCTCTTCAACCCAAGAATGCAGTTGATCTGCCTATCATAGAAGGGAATAACAAGGTACTGACTGTCTAACCTGGTCCTAAATCATGGGTTTGCATCTCAAAGGGGTATGCCATGGTTTTATAGCATTAAATAGTCCAGAACTGAACAGTTTCCCATCCTCTCTGTTGGTCCCTCTTTTGAGATTTTGACTATGCATGCTCGTTGGAATCATATTGCCTGCATGAGAATAATCTAAGACAATTTACTAAAATACAGATTTCAAGACTAGATCAGCATGTCCAACAAGCTTGCTAGGCAGTTGTTGTAGAGCCTTAAATTAGAATCCCTGAGTATCCTTAGACAGCCAGCCTCTGCCCTTCCACTTACCAAGCACCTCACCTGTGTAAGACACTGGAGTCAAAGCTAGAGAAAGTACAAGTGACCTCACTCCAGCCTCCAAACTTGGCTACTGAACTTGTATAACCATCATGCCAGCCCTGCCCAGCCCAGAATTCCAGGTGAAATTCTCTCACTGCACTTCAGTGAACCTCTTGTTCTTCAGAGTAGGAGGAACCCTGAGATCTACCAATTTGGTTTTTATACAGTGTATATAAAAACAGAACTATACTTCCCTTATGTTGTCAGTCAGGGGCTTCCTGAAAGTGCTCGACCCTGTCTCAGCTCCAGTGAGCACTGTTTCTAGGCTAGCACATTCTCTTTAAGAAAAATACACACAAGGCTGGAGAGATATTTCAACAGTTAAAAGCACTGGCTGCTTTTGCAAAGGACACAGATTCAATTCCCAGGACCCACAAGGCAGCTCACAACCATCTGTAACTCCAGTTCCAGGGGAATCTGTTCATCTTCTGGCTTTCATTAGCATTGCATACACAAAATACACACAGGCAAAACACTAATACACTAAAATAAAAAATAAACATGTCTTTAAAACTTATATTTTTAAAATTTAAATTTTTAAAACTTTTTAAATGTAAAAACTCTAAAGCTGTCCCTCTGTCTATCTATGTCTGTCTGTCTACTTCTCTGTCTCTCTGTCTCTCTCTCTCTCTGTCTCTCTCTCTCTCTCTCTCTCATACACAGACACACACATACACACACACACACACACACACACACACACACACACACACTCCACTGCCTAACCTAGGAAAATCTCATTGGCCTTTGATAAAGAATGTAAAGCAAAACATCAAATAACAACAAAAATTGCTTTCAGAAATCTGAAATGTCTCTGCCTTCTAGGTCTCTCCCTAGCATTCTGTGTGACATGAAACAATTCAAGCTGTTCCAAAGCACAGTAAGAACTACTACCTCAGAAAAAGAGTGGTGATCTCACATGGAGACAGAGGGGCTGTGGCCTGTGCAGTACCCTCCCCTCTCTGTTTGGGAACAGTCACTAAAACATAAACATCTGTTTCTTTTTGTCCAGAGTCTCTAAGTACACGCCCTCCATGAGGCCCACTGAGGTGGACAAGGCTGTACAGATGGCCCTGCACGCGTGGAGTACAGCTGTCCCGCTGAACTTCGTTAGAATAAGCTCTGGGGAAGCAGATATCATGATATCTTTTGAAACTGGAGGTACTGTACCATTTCTTGGGTTCTACTTTTAATGCCAAGGAAAACTGCCTCAAACTTGCTCCTTGCACACATCTGTGAAATGATCAGCACAGGACTCCATCACACAGTGTTAGGATGGGCAGAGGCCAAAAGCAACATCCTGCCAGAAGGTAGAACTGAGCAACCTGAGTTCGTCACTTTAGCGTCCCCTGTGTGACACTCTTGGAAGTGCACTTTCACTGTGGATTTGTCCCATGACAGGACAAGTTCTGTCCACTTGAGTTTTCCCACTGGCTAGAGGGTCACCTGACTTCAATGTTTCCCGTAACAACTTTAATCAATATCATCTGGTTCCCTATTACCCAATATTATCCTACCTGGAGTTCCCACTGAGGAAATCACTTCCCTAGAAACCCTGAGATATCCCCTATATGCCACCCCACCCAAAATTCTACACACACAAAACAGCGACAGAGAGAGCGTTTGTGTTTCACCCATGCTTGAACACTGCCTTTAAGAAGTCCATGAGATGCTTGCCTCTACCTATACATTTCTCCACCGCCACCCCCATCCCCACACACCCTGCTACAGAGAATCAGGGCTTTGAACGTGACTGGTAAACCTCTGAGCCTTTGCATAAAAACATACAGGAAGTAGATAGAGCCAGAGGCCCCTGAAGTTCTCTCCAACAGTGACACTGACTGTCACTGCTTCTCCCTACCCAGACCCTGTTGCTGAGTGCCCAAGACACTCTGAGCCTGAGCTTATTCCTATCTGATTTTGCTGGGGCAGGGAGGGGGATTAAGGAGTTAGGGAGAGAAGATTGGGACAGTCATGAAATGCCCTTCAAAAATAGCCTTGCGTGGTCCTGTTCCTGCCAGGCATCCAAGGACACTTGTTGAAATGGTAGGACATTGTAAGTGAAGGCAGACTTAGGGGACATGTAGTTGACTCTCTTCATTTTTCAAGCTGGTATTCTGTCCCCTAGCACAAAAGCTGACTAGAGACCAGGGAGTCATCAAAAACCCTCAGAACACACAGACCTGATTGAACTGCATCACAATTGATTTTGACCTGAGAAGTAGTATATTGAATTTGGGGTATTGACTTTAAAAACAATAAACAGGGTTAGAGAGGTGGCTGAAGTCGAGCACTTGTTGTCAAGTCTGATTCCCCCAGTTTGATCCCAGGGACCTGCATGGAAGAAGGAGAGACCCAGCTCCCATAAGCTGTCCTTTGATCTCCACACAACATTGTGTGCACCCCAGCACATACACATATACAAAGTAAATCATTTTAAATTTAATTAATGAATTAATAGAATAAAATACAAATACCAATTTTTAAATAACAAAAACTTGGGCATTGTCACCAAAATTCTGAGAAACTGTGAACAGTAGTTTCTGTCACATTCTTCAAATGTTTTTCTTTTCTGTTGAATTCATAATTCTGTTAACTATACATGATAGAACAAAATACGAAAGTCTGTAGGTGCTAAGATTATCCTGACTAACTTTATTTTCATAGGCTTTACACATGCAGGTATATCAAAGCTGCAAAGTCATTTTTGACACATAAATTATATTGCGCAATACAAATGGAAGCACATACTTAGTTTACAAGACTCCTCTCAAAGGAATCAGTTTTGGAAGCTCTTTCTGCCAACAAGACCATTTTTTTATTCAGTGGGCTGGGTTGCTATCAAATGTTTCTCCATTATTTCTCCTTCTGTAATCTGTGTGATAGTCTACCATATACTATGTTGCAATAAAAAACATTACAACAAAGTTTTCCATGCCTCCTTTGAAATATAAAATAGTCTTTTTTATTTTTCAATTTCTTAACATATATAAAATTAATATATAATATATTATAATCATATTTTAAAATATATATTTGAAAATAAATATTAGGGCTAGAGACATGGCTTGGCACTTAAGGGCACTTGCTGTGCTGTAACTCCAGCTCCAAGGAGATCTGCCTCTTCTGGCCTCCTTGGGCACTGCAGTCATGTGCAATATTCCCAGAGGGACACACACAGACACACACAGACACAGACACACACACACACACAGACACACACACAATTAAAAATATATCTTTAGAGATGGATATGATGAATATTTAAAAGTGCATTTAAGGGTCAATGCTGTCGGGAATGTTACCTACTTTTTGTGACCCCACTCCCAGAATTACTAGGCCTTAATCCAATTGATATTTCCTACTTAGATCATGGGGATTCCTACCCATTTGATGGGCCTCGAGGGACTCTGGCCCATGCATTTGCACCCGGAGAAGGCCTGGGAGGAGACACACATTTCGACAATGCTGAGAAGTGGACTATGGGAACGAATGGTATATATGCACAATTCACCATAACCTGGAAAATATTGTATCTTCTTCTGGGCCTCCATCATGAAACCTTGAGGTTCAACGTCCCAAGCCACCCTTTAACTAGGGAGGCTGGGTAGGAAAAACAAGTAAGCCAAAAATCCAGAAGGGAACACCACAGGGGGAAAAACCCTCCCAAGCTGATGCTATAGGCTAGCGTGTTCTCTGTTTCTTAGCAATTTAAACTACAGATCCCGTCCTCTCCCAATGCACAGATTGCTTCTTATTCAGGTGTACAGAATTTATGGCTCCTTACCTGTATGTGGAGATGAACTTTATTTAGAAATGAACCCAGGAAATGAATTGGTAGTCTCCTAAGGAGTGTAATTGGGGAGGGTGTGAAGTTTCTAAAATGTCATGCAGATCATCTAGAAACCTTCCCTGTGAGACATGCAAATGAAGGAGTCTGGTACACCCACACACACTCAGGTATAGTCATTAGAATTCCAACTTTGACGTCAAGTCTCAATTCCTGGTTCCACCAATTGTTAACTGTAACCATGAGTAAATTATTTCAACTTTCTGAACCTAGTTTCCTCATAGTATTGATTAAAACATTAAATGTGTATAATACTGAGTTGAATGAAAACAGATTTATTTTTAAGCAGTAAGTTAACCTTTTTATAACTGAATTCACCTTTGTGTGTAAGCCTATAATCTGCCTATAACAGAAGGTAATTTTATCTCATTGTACGATGTTCAATGTCTATTCAGAGGTTTTTTATTTTTTTAATAAAACCAACTTATAGTATAAAAAAGAGGTAGACTGTAGGATCAGAAAGCAATTTGAGCATTTAGGGTCCAAATTAATGCACTATTATAAATTTCATTACCACTACTAACTACATGGCCCTTTGTTATCCCTCTGCCTAGCATCAATGACAAGGAAGAGTCTTGTCTTACATTTCCCTCTCCCCCTAATGCCCCAGAAGAGTGAAGAAACTAAAATAGACTAAAGTCAGGAGAACCATGTGCTAGAACAACCCACCAAGCTTTGAAACCTGTTATGGAAAGCAGAGTTAACTGTGGTGGGGCATAAAGTCTCCTGTAAGGCAAGAGAACAAAAACAAAACCCTGCATTGATGCTCTCTCTCTCTCATGTTGTTTAGGGTTCAATTTATTCACCGTCGCTGCTCATGAATTTGGCCATGCTCTGGGCCTGGGCCATTCCACAGACCCATCAGCACTGATGTACCCAACTTATAAGTACCAGAACCCCTATAGGTTTCATCTCCCCAAGGATGACGTGAAAGGAATCCAAGCATTATATGGTATGATCTCCTCAGCATCTCTAACCCTGAAAGTGACAGGCATTCAGTCTACAAGTTAGAAAAAGTGCACTTTTACAGGAGTTACTTGCTTAGATAAAGATGACTAGGGTCACCACCACCTAGATGACAACCACCAGGGTTGTCAGCTTGTAACGAGCTTATCTACAAGTTAAAAGTCTTGCATCTCTCCTAAGATGCTGTTACATTTTCCTTCCAGAGCATTCTGCATTCTGGTCATGAAAAGCCTAAGAAAATGGTCCATTTGCCTAACTTTCCAAAAGCAAATAAAAATGTATGCATTTGAAGATAGAAGGCAGTGATTTTATCTTACAGTTCACACACACACACACACACACAGACACACGGACATGGACAAACGCACATTCATATGTGTGTGTGTGCTTACCTGTTTATAGATAATTGGTCTTAGCTCCCTAACAATGGCAATCATAATATTAATAACCTACCACTTGACCATACGAACAGTCTGCTGCTCGTCATGCGCACTCACACTAGTCATAGACACGTGGCAAAGTTGTATGAGCTCTCACTTCATAACTGCGAACTTTTAAGGTTCAAGGCAGTAGGGAATCTTAGGATATTTTTAGGTATCAAATTAATTATGTAGGATAACAAAATAGCCACCATCTCTTAAATAATGTTTTCCTTAATTCTTTGAGCATTTTCATGTACGTATACAATGACTTTTGATGACTGAGTCACTTCCTACACCTTGCCCTATCTCCTCCAAATTCACATGGGTTCCCATCCCATCTCTGTTTACAGCCTGCTAAGTCCAACTTCTAATGCCTGCATAATGGAGCATATTTGACCTAGTAAAGTCCATACCCATAGACAAAACTGACTTTCCAGTAGACATCAAATTTTAATAGTGTTTTGCAGATATTACTTAGGTCTCACACAGTATTTACAAGTAGATTCTAGCACCCCATCCCAATTTACAATTGATGTAGCTAAGGCCTTAAAAGTTAAATTATTTGTTTCTATCACATAACTAACAGCTAGAGATGCTGAGACTCAAGCCCAGGTCTGCTTGCCATGGATAGCCATCTCCTTAAGACATTGCCATTTGCGGTGGGAATGTGTGCAAGCTTCTAGAGTTCTCACGAGTAGATATGTACATGCTCTGAATTGTACACTTGCACTTTGAACCCTAGGACCCCGGAAAACATTCCCAGGAAAGCCCACCATGCCCCATATACCACCTCACAAGCCATCCATCCCTGACCTTTGTGACTCAAGCTCATCCTTTGATGCGGTGACAATGTTGGGAAAGGAGCTTTTGTTCTTCAAGGATAGGTAAGTCCAAGACGCCCTCAGGCCTCAGCCCATTGCTAACCAGCACCACTGCCTCAATGGCTGAAGATCATACAGTAGAGTGGGCAGGAGAGTCTTAGGAGATACACAACTGCACAGGTAGCTGTGGACGGAGTACTGGTTTGGTCTGGAGATTTTGCTGAGTGCTTTCCAAACAGTTGCAGTATTTATTTAAACTGCTTCAATCCTAGAGACTAGAATCTCCAATGTAGAAAAAAATAAAGAATGTAGTTGAAAGATAGCAAGTTGGTTTCCTTAGGCCATCAGCCCAAGTGTATCAGGCAACTGTTTGTTATTATGTGCCTAGTGAGAGGGTAGTAAGGGTTTATTTAATAGTTGGCAAGTGACATTTAGCTAGTTAGACAGATGAGTGGATGGGTGAATGCATGCATGCATGAGTGGAAAGATGATGGGGGTAGATGGATGGGTAGATAGGTGGATGGATGGATGGATGGATGGATGGATGGATGCATGGTCGGATGCATGGATGGATGGATGGATGTGTAGGTGGGTGGATGGATGGATGATGG